GAAGCGGAGAGGAGCACCGAGCGGACTGCCTGCTGGCATTAATCGTATTAAACGTCAAGTGCCAAAAAATAGTCGATTAAAGTTTTTCTGACCATTATTTAAGATACGATTATGCCCAACCCTAAATCAAAGTCTTAAAAGTTGAAAAATTTGAATGAAACACAGAGGAAGCRTGAAAATGATGATTTAAACCAATGCTCCTCCTCACAAACATCTTCCACCACCCATCCTGTCCCTAACTCTGCTCTATGTGTGCTGTAAATGTAAAAGCTCCGTATTTTGATTTGTATTTTGATGTATTTTAAGTGTTTCCTGTTGTGTCTGCAGCACTTTGGTGTTAAAGTGCTTTAGAAATAAAAGTGGTATCCTCAAACAAGCTCATCATCGAGTTCAAACTCAATCTGGACATCTTCATCAAAAAAAAAAAAAAAACAGACTATCCTCCAACTCCTGTCTTGTATAGGAAGAGTAGCGGGGCTCAGAGTTACCATGGAGACCGAAAAGAYCTACTGGCATCTTTTGTATGAATTTCAAATTGAATTCACAAAATATCTGCCTGGATCACTGCACAGGACTTCACATCAAATAGCAAATGCACTTTAACTCTGAAGTCTGCTCCGAACAACTCGCCCTCCTTTGAAGTTATTCATTTGTTGAAGGTATAAGAAATCTCTTGGTTTTGTCACTAACAGAGGTTTAAGGATTAAAAGTTCATAAAAGAGACTCACCTTGAGGGTCAGACGAAAACACCGGATCTTTTAAAAAAAAAAAAAAAAAAACAGAAGGTGAGGAGAGTCAGAACCACCCAAAACGCAGCCTGGACTCTGATCTGACAAGCTCCCACATGCAGCTCTCTCCTTCTGACAGCATCACCGCTGAGGAGGAGGAGGATGCCTGACTGACTGAAGCCAGCTCCAATCAGAACGCGGCCTGTCAGCTGGAGTGGGCAGGGCTTGGAACTTTGACATCCTCTCCGTGATGCGTTTCCCCCAAACCTAAGATCAAACGTGTTAAAATAAAACCCTAAGTTATTGACTTTTAATTATGCAAAACATTGATTTATTTAATAAAATATGAAAGTGAAATGAATCAAAATACACATTTCTCACTCAAAAATAGTTTAAAATTTGCAGAGAAGATCAGCAAAATATAAAAATGGCTGAAAGAAATATGATTTGCTGCCACCTGCTGGAGAAAATGGTGAATGACAGTTTTATACACACATACAGACATTATATATATA